CATGAGGTATCCGACACAAGGCTGTAATATTTTGCGCAGTTCTCTTCTCTCTCCCTCCTCCATCATCCATTTCACACATCTCCTTCTCCTCTCCCTTCCTTCCTCCTCCACCACCTGTTTCACCTATCTCTTTCTCTCCCTCCCTTCCTCCCTTCTCTATCATCATTCTCACCCATCTCCTTCTCCTTTCTCTCTCTCTCCCTCCACCATCATTCTCACCCACCTCCCCTCTCTTCTCTCTCCCTCCTCCACCATCACTCTCACCCACCTCCCTCTCTTCTCCACTCTCCCTTCCCTCCTTCCTCTTCCATCATCACTCGCACCCACCTCCTCTCCCTTTTCCTTCCTCCTCCACCATCATTCTCACCCACCTCCCTCTCTTCTCTCTCCCTCCTCCACCATCACTCACCCACCTCCCTCTCCCTCCCTTCCTTCCTCTTCCCTTCCTTCCCTCCTCCACCATCTTTCTCACCCACTCTCCCTCTCTTCTCTCTACCATCACTCTCACCCACCTCCCTCTCTCTCCCTCCCTCCACCATCACTTCTCACCCACCTCCCTCTCCCTCCCCCACCATCATTCTCACCCACCTCCCTCTCCTCTCTCTCCCTCTCTCCTCCTTTCCTCCCTCCCCACCATCATTCTCACCCACCTCCCTCTCTTCTCTTCCCTCTCTTCTCCACTCTCCCTCCCTCCCTTCCTCCTCCACCACCATTCTCACCCACCTCCCCTCTCCTCTCCCACCTCTCCCTCCCTCCTCCCTCCCTCCCCCACCACCATTCTCACCCACCTCCCTCTCTTCTCCAACCCCCGACAGGAGCAAGTGCGGAAATACCCCGAACGCTGGACCATCGGCCTCGCCTTCCAGACGACGGATCAGCTGTTCCGACGGGGCTACATCGAGGTAGCTTGCGTGAGCTCACTCGGCGCCGGACACCAGAAGAGAGCGGAGGTGCAGCTGGTCAACCACGCCTACTTGAGAGCGCAGGAATATCATTATAATGCAGGTCGGGGTTGTATGCATCTTTTTATGTTTATTTATAGGAAAAATTAAAAAATGGGTTGACTAATAGGAAAGCCACATCTCTCTTCTTTCTCTCTCTCTCTTTTCTCTCTCTCTCTTTCTCTTTCTCTCTCTCTCTCTCTCTCTCTCTCTCTCTCTCTCTCTCTCTCTCTCTCTCTCTCTCTCTCTCTCTCTCTCTTTCTCTCTCTCTCCTCTCTCTCTCTCTCTCTCTCTCTCTCTCTCTTTCTTTCTCTCTCTCTTACTCCATCCCCCCTCTCTTAGGCTGTCAGTCTCTCTCTCTCTCTCTCACTCTCTCTCACTTCTCTCTCTCTCTCTCTCTCTCTCTCTCTCTCTCTCTCTCTCTCTCTCTCTCTCTCTCTCTCTCTCTCTCTCTCTTCTCCTCTCTCTCTCTCTCTCCTCTCTCTCTCTCTTATCTCTCTATCTATCTATCTATCTATCTATCTATCCATCCATCCATCTCTCTCTCTATCTCTCTCTATATATTTTCATTTCCATTTTCTTTTCCCATTCACATTATATGCAGTGGTAGCGTTTTCACCTTGCAATCTTGCTGACCCGAGTTCAAATCCCGCATCGCCAGCAGATGATAACCCTTGCCATTCCTTGCACACAGGGAGTAATTTACAAGCAAAGATAATTATTGTAATAAATGGAATATAGCTAGTTTAATTATTAAACTAAGAATTAATAAATTAATAAATTAATAAATGGAATATAACTAGTTTAATTCTGAGTTTAATATACAGCTGGTGATCGTTATGCTGAAAAATGTAAACATAATATGCCGACAACAGACAAGTGATAATATTACATAAACGGTAAAAATAGCACAATAAGAATAGCTTGTACCCTGAAGATAAGATTAGATAAAATGATAATTTATTGTCATTTGTGAGTTGAAAGCATTCAGCTTACAAATCGTACATAATTATTTCATTGTTTGATAAGCATTTTTCTTCAAAACACGTGAAAAATCTTTGATCTGTCTTGCCTTTCTTCACTTTATTAAATATTTCTTTACATTTATCCGTTTATTTTCGTTCGGTTCTCAGCTTATCCCTTGCTTCAATAACTAAATACCTTCATGTTATCATTTATCACTTGTTTCTTATTTATTTGTTTATAAGTTTTTCTTTCTTTCTTATTGATAATAATAATAATGATAATATAATGATAATAATAACAATAATAATAATAATAATAAATAATAATAATAATAATGATTGATGATAATGATAACAATAATAATAACATATTAATAACAACAACGACAGTAATAACAATAATGCTAATAATAACATAATACTATTTTCCCCCCTTTTCCCTTGCAGGTCGCCAGAGAAATGAGGGTCTGCGGGCGTGTGCAATCGTGGGCGCCCTCACTTTCATCATCCTCAACCACCTTCTGTATTAACTTTATATTCCTTGCGCCAATGACCCGTTTCACTGTAAATGTGTATATAAATGTAACTGTGTAA